CCATTTTTAATGATGTAAAGGTAACTAATCGTTCATTGAAAATATAATAAATAAAGACAAATAAAAAAAATAACAATTGGGCAATGTTTGTTTATTCATCCATTCAAATTCATTAATGTTATTTAAATTAGCAATATATTTTATATATTCATTAATAATACACAGTTTAATTATCACAAATACCAAATTTTTATTTCATTTGCAGCTTATGCTGGCTAATTATGACATTTGACCTGTTATCATAACACTGAACAACTAAACAGTGTGTTTCCTAATAGAACTCTATCGCGGGTACCATGGGCGTCAGTTTGGTTTGAAATGTGGGGGGGACAGAGACGCATTCGGAAGGGCATTTTCAAAAGTGCTGGGTACAATGACGCGTTCATTCTTTTTTCTCTTTCGCGCAGGTCATGGTTTGAAAGACGCCGATGTCCTGTAGCTTACTGATTTAAATAAATAAAAATGTATACAAAGATGTGATGATGTCCGACCAAAAATGTGATGGTACTTTGGGTTTAAATTTAATATTATATTAAGATCTAATATAATGTTGTTAGTATCGTGAATTTTTACGTGAATATATATATAGATCCGCCTGCGATGCGTATGTACTGTAATGGTCCAGTGGCAGAATTTTTGCCAAGCGTGTCGGAGGTTGAGGGTTCTAATCCGCACTCGTATAGTTTTTTTCCCCACATCAAAACCGATAATTGTATATCAAGAATCTTGATATACTTTATCACTGATAAACATTATCGGTTTTGATGAGGGGGAAAAAAAACTATACGAGTGCGGATTAGAACCCTCAGAAGCAGGGACACGTTTGTGTGCATTTTGAATTGTGATTTCTCTGGAACGAATAGAATCTCTGCAACGGATTGAAGCGCGCGTCCGAGTGAAGACAACACATTTCAGCGCTAGATCGCCTCTTATTTAACAAATGAATTAAACGAATGCTGCTAGTTAACTAGAGATTTTTTATTTGTATTGGTACATCCGTGACGCGAGATGTTTCAAAAGTGGTGGGGACAATATCGACCCTGGCAAAAAGTGGTGGGGACATGTCCCACCCGTCCCCCCCGTAAATGACGCCTATGGCGGGTACAGTTAAGACAGTGTGTCTCAACTGTACCCTGATGGCCACCTCGCGCATTTCTCTAGATTTTGCAATGACCATGCCTGAAACAATCCCATGAAATATGCCCGTTTTTAGGGCACAGAATAACGTTTGTGATTATACCAGTTACGTTTAACAGTCACATAAGGATAATAAGCTATTCATTGTGGAGTGTGCATGGTGAAGGGAACGTCTTACCTTAAAAAAAAAAGTTTTGCCGATATCTTCGGAGCGGAGATGCGTCCATTGATCAAATTTCCCACGATCAAAGAGGACACTAATACGCATGTGCACAGCAAAAATCACAACTTGTGCTAGCTGCGCACGCAAGTTATTTAAGGTGTCTCAACTGTACGTCTCAACTGTACCCAGTCTACCCTACGTGGTCTAATAAAAATTCGATCTATTTCTAAAAGAAATGCATTTGTCTAACTAGCCAACGTGAGACAGATCAAACAAATGATAGGCATACTCCTGATTGCAAAAAAAATAGACACTACACGTTCGTTTTAATTTCCAGCATAAATAATTTTCATGATTTATGATTTCATATTAGCCATTTATGTTTGTAGAGAGTTTCATAAATAATACAATTAGAATAAAAATATAATAACAAACAGGAAAAAAATATTTTGCTCAAATGCAAATTCAACAAGTTAATGGTATTATTCGTTAAGCTATTCAGTAGCCTAAACTTTATTGACACCATAGCTGCCAGAAAAAGTTAGCATAGCCCATCTATCTATCTGTCTATCTGCCTACACGTTCCAATTGTTTTGAATTTTACACATGCATGCATTGAGGAATAACTGATTGCTTTTGGGTTTGTTAAATATGTTGTTGAATGTAAATTATAATAATAAGAACACTCTACCTAAGGACGCTATGCGAAACGCGTTGTTCTCTTTGAATAAAATAAAAGAGTAAAGTCAGTGTGCGGTAGAGTGTTCTTATTATTGTCATTTAAATTCGTTCCTGCTATCTACCTGCACACGCCAGGCTGTGCATGGACCCGAATTGGAATATGTTGTTGAATGTGTTTGTTTGATGTTAATAAATCATGTTTTTTTTTTTTTAAATTAAGATACAGGATTATTTTTTGATAAATCAGGATATCTGAAAAGAAATTTGTCTCGAGTGCATGAATAAGTTGGCAAACAACGCATTATATAAATTATATTCAAATTAAAATATTATAGCTGGACCTTAAAGTTAACAAAAGTAATAATGAAAAAAAAACAACAACAACAACTGATCTATCTAAATTACACGTTTAACAAAGATCGGCCCACTTTACCTGCATTCACAGATAGGTAACGAATGCAAAAAAAAATTTGCAATCCACAAAATTCAAAGGTATATTCATAAAATATTCAGCTTACCGGTATATTTTATATCTATTTGTTTTAACTTTCGCACTTGTGCTTTAAATGTGTCCACTAGATGGCAGATTGTGTTCACCACACAACAGCATGCTAGGCTACATTTGGCAGCAATGTCTGTGCTCACTACAGGCTTGTTCCCAAGCTAACATTTACACATGCATCACAGAAAAGAGTAAAAATCACAGACCTACATGCCATTTCCATATGTGAGGAACATGCAGATTTCCACAGACATATGGTGACATATCTCTGAATCTTTCCTTTCAAATGCTATCCTTATGCAATGCCTCACTCACACGTTGTGCCAACATTTTGCAGACCTTGGTTCGGTTCGGCATGAAGGCACACACGTTGCTGGGCCAGATGGAGCTGAGACATTCCTCCCACTGCGAGTTCTCAGTCCTGCAGGGACTTAGATAGGACCCATCCTTGCTGTTGCTCACCAAGCTAAGCCTGTCCTCCATTCTCTGCCAAACTCACACTGTTTCAGAGGTCTCTCGCACAGCTAGTGCATTGCTTATGAGTCAGGGTGCCCACATTGTTTTTCAAGTAGAGGTGTTTCAAAATATCTGATGCCCACATTTTGCCGTGACCATTTACATAAACACATTTTTGGATGGACAGTCATTTGATGAATGTTACATATATAAATGTTAAATATTGAAGAGTAAATGACAAAGACTTAATGACATATTTTATTTTGCATTTATGCTTTTTAGCTCACACCTTTGTATTAAATTTGTCAGCCAAGAAAGGGTGTGTAAATAAGATTAGCCTTCCCTTCTACCATGTGTGTGTATGTGTGCATAAAAATACAAATACAAATTTCAGCAGGAGCTCATTGAAATGAAAAGAACAACTTTATGAATAATACATTTCTTTATCAGTAGAAACATGAGAAAGAACACTCTTCTATGAGTGGATTTATTTATTTATTTTTACTATTCAAAATAGTCCTTCAACACTTTTCGGCATCCTCATGCCTCCTCTCACCTCGCACAGAAGCAATCATTGATACAACTAACAGCAATAATCGATCACGGGTGCAAATGAGTTTTTGGGCTTGCTAATGTCACCGTCCAGTGCTTGGTCATCTTTGGGATGTTCCACTCAGGTGCTTTTTTGACAGTGAAGGGCAACCAACAGAGGTTTGAATCCTTTTGAAGCCACCTGGGATTTCAGGGTCTGACAGATGGTGGAAGCTTTTCCTGCTATAGGAAGATAGTTGTTACTTTGACACTTTGGTTTAACATCATCATAATGAGCTAATAACAGAAGCTTGTATTCCCCCACGCACTAATACAATGACTTCCTTCCTTGTGCAAGGAAGTTGTTCTTGCAGCCGCTCTTGTTGAATCAAAAGCGAGACAGGAGAGAACAGCGACAGAGATCTTTTGGTTTGCATGAGCGGATGGTGAGGTGTTGTCAGCTTGCTGTGCTCTTATGTAAGAGGTGAGGAGTAGCTCAGGAAAGCTGGCTGCCAGCTGTGCTGGTATTTGGATGAGAGCTCCTGCCTTGTCACCTCATTGTAATCTCTCTAATGCATATTCATTGTCAATGCATGGGAGCACTTCTCATTCAGAAGGTCATCCGCAGTGGGGCTCCATTGCAATGGATTTTTGTACGTTGAATAAGTCGGAGGGAGGACAGCGACACTAGATAAATATTCTCATCTAGATGAGTGCTATCATGTCTTCATTTCTCTTCTCAGAGGTGACCTCATGCTCGAAACCTTAACGGTTAATAATGTTATGTACAGTGTAACGTAAAGTGACATCGCATGACATAAGGAATCCTGCTTTAAAGTGATGCTTGTGAGGTGAGAAAATGGCCTGTCCCATGTCATAAAAGTAAATCATTCAGGGAGGGTGAAAAAAAAGAAGGTGAGATACCATTCATTAAGATATCATACACTCTTAACCCAAATTAGTTGACTTTAGAAAATTGCGTGGAAACCCGTTCCACTAAACCATTTTAGTTTTTACACAGGGCGAAACTAAACAGGTTAAGTCGTATTAACATAGAATCTTAAGTGGGTTCAATAGACAAATCAAGTTTACATTAGTAGTCTTTATTGTAAATAATTAGTTCATATTATTATTATTTTTTAGTATAGGTTTACTATCAAGCTACTATTAATTACTCGCAGAATGAGTTAATGTAAGGATCCATCAAACAATGGTCACAGGAAACAATACTTGACAAAGACACATGGCAAACATGAGGGCTTAAATACACAGACTTAATGACAGGACAAGGAACACCTGTGAACAATGAACAGACGATTAACCAATGACAAGACACATGGCAGGATCACATGACAAACAGGGAATCACATGACAGACATGGAACATGACATGAACAAACCAAAACGTGACAGAGACAAGACCAAATCGTGACAGATCCCCCCCTCTAAGGGCGACGCCCGACGCCCGACAAAACCAACACAAAACATAACTTCAGGAGGGTGGTGGATTAGAGGAGGTATAGGGGGAGGGATGGTGGGCCAGGCCCGTACAGGGGGACAGGACACGGGACGTGGCATGGCGTGGACGGGCCTGGGCTGTGGCGTGGGCGGATCTGGCAGTGTAGGGGGCCAGGGTGGATCCGGCAGTGCAGGGGGCCAGGGCGGATCCGGCAGTGCAGGGGGCCAGGGCGGATCCGGCAGTTCAGGAGTCCAGGGTGGACCAAGCAGTTTAGGAGTCCAGGGTGGACCAGGCAGTTCAGGAGTCCAGGGTGGACCAAGCAGTTCAGGAGTCCAGGGTGGACCAAGCAGTTCAGGAGTCCAGGGTGGACCAAGCAGTTCAGGAGTCCAGGGTGGACCAAGCAGTTCAGGAGTCCAGGGTGGACCAGGCAGTTCAAGAGTCAAGGGTGGACCAGGCAGTTCAGGTGGCCATGGCGGAGCCCCGTCCCCCCAAAAAATTTCTCTGGTGGGCAGCTATGGGGTTATGGGCAGGAACAGAAACCGGCTCAGGAACAGACACCGGCTCGGCGGCGGCCATCTTGTCTGGGGTCACCGGCTGGGCAGACGTGACGTGAACAGTCTCTGGCTGGTCAGGCATGACGTGAAGATCCTCAGCCTTGGCAGGCATGATGTGAAAATCAGGCTCGACGTTAAGAAGCTCAGGGTCAGGAGCCATGACGTGAAGGTTCTCAGCCTTGGCAGGCATGACGTGAAGTGGCTCGGGCTTGGCAGTTATGACTTGAAGAGGCTCTGAATTGGTGGGCACTGTAGGGTTGCGGGGCTCCTCGTCCACCAAACCCACAGTAAAGAATGAATTGAAATGAAAAATGAATTTTTCCCCCCTGGCAATCGGGACCGCACCGGATCGTTCAGCCCTAAACGAAAAATGTCCTTAAGAGCCACATCTAGGGATGGCTGACACGAAACAGTCGTTCCGAAGCTTTGCGAGATCCCGAAGCGCAGATGTTTCGAAACACTGATCCGAAGCGTGATTCAAAACACCCATGTCACGTGACAATGGCCAAACGAAGCCTCGAAATGTTTCACTAAGTGTTTCATCAGGTGTGATCTGCCGAATCAGCGTTTGATTGACACGGTCGGGAACAACAGACCACACAATCGCACATCTGTATAAAAGTGAAATCAACGCATATTGGCCTCGTGGGTTTTTGTGAGAGGAGTTTGATTTTGAGATAACGGATTTTGGTGATATAGTGACATAGTGCGATTTGGTTAGTTATAGGCTATTTAGGCTTAGCCTACATTTAAATTTACACAACACTTGACTGATAGGCTAGAGACAGACAGAGTATAGCCTACATATCAGGACACATTAATAGATGCATAGATATAAATATATAGACAGATAGATTAATAGATAGATTTGCCCAGAACTCATGATCCACTAACTTAAAGAGAGAGCAGTAATCTTTCCTCATTTGTATGTCCTAGCTAAAAAATATCTTTGCATGCCAGCAGCAACAAGTGTCCCTTGTGAGGGGATTTTTTCAAAGGCTGGAGAAATTATCTGTAAAAAAAGAAGTAGGCTAAGTCTTTCCACAGCAGAGAAATTCATATTTTTGAATAAAAATCTCTAAAAAAGTGAGACATTGTGGCTTGATTTCTTTTATTTATATTTATTTTGCAGGACCAAAATAACATTTTGCACAGTGAAGAGCCTATAGGTTACAAGCTTCACATATTAGAAAAATACAATAATAAAAAAACAACACATTTTTTAATGGCTCGTCAAGGTTGTTTCAGATCAACACCTGCAAGTGACCACTAGGTGTCACAGAGGAGACGGGTGTCGGATTGATTCGAAGCCTCGAAACAATATGGCCCATTTGGTTCAACTGTTTCATTGCTTCACGAAGCCTCGATCTGCCCATCACTAGCCACATCATTAAACTCCAACCGGTGAAAGAGATCACAAAACTCTGCGTCTCCTTGATGCAGACTTAGGAGGGCAACTGGGTTCATGGTTGTTGGTCAAGTATTCTGTAAGGATCCATCAAACAATGGTCACAGGAAACAATACTTGACAAACAGAGGTGTAGTGGTAAAAAAAGAGGTGGGTAAACTATAAATTCTGGTGGACCACGACGTGGTCACCCGGTAAGGTGGGCCACTGCCTACCGGTGTATGTGTATCTCCTGATGACATTGCTATAGGGAGGGCTCGACATTAAGCCCTTTCATACGCTTAATCTGTCATTCACTTGTCCGAGTAAAAAAGTTTCTCGTCCGGATTATTATTATTATTTTTTTGTTAATTTATTCTGAAACAATATTCTCATCAGTGTTCAATCAGCTTTGATATTTAAATCGGCATATTGTAATATCTGCACCTTTAAAGGGCATCCCCTCCCCCAATCTTATATATATATATATATATGTATGCTTCATCTTTCATTTTAAATTTCTTAATTTGATCAATAAATTCAATTATTTCGAATAATAAGACACTATAGGGCTGATCAAATTAAATCATTTACACTGAAAAATTACAATTGCATAAAATGTTATGAAATTGATTTAAATTTACAAATAAGAAACGTTAGAAAGAATGACCTACTTAAACATAACACGAAACCGCCAGTAGGTGGCGGCAGGCGACCGTCTTAATGAGTGATTAATTGATTCATTCATTCAAACGATTTGTTCAAACGGCTGATTCATTCAAGATTGAGACAGATGTTTCCGAATGGGTCGTTGAATCTTTGACTCAATCGATTCGTTCAAAATGCTGAATCATTCAGTAATGAAAACAGGTTGAGTGTTCCTGTGAGATGCGCCGTGGTTCTGCTTTGATTTTTGTTTGGAACTATTTTCGCTGCTGAAACAACAAAAACAGCCAATATTGCATCTAAAATGTAAGTGACTTAATTTTAACTGTTTATTGAACTGTTGTAGGAAATCAATGTCACATTTTCAATCGTGATGGTGTTCAGGAAAAATAATTGAGGTTGCTTAACATATGTTAAAAATATAAAAACTCCACATTTAGATTTTTTATAGGCAGTAGGCCTATGTTGTTAACTGAGTGTGTGTGTGTGCGCTCATTTGTGTAGATGTCTCCTCGAGAGGCTGCGCGAGCGTCAACAGCGCAACCTTACCGTCAGTAAAAGTCAACAACACTGACAGTAATGCAGCGCAATATGAAAGAGTTCGTCTTAGGTTTAACAACCTATGAAACTAATAATGAGCAATATGAAACTAAAACGACATAAGCTTATTTTATAGCTATTTAGAGGTGGATAAACGCAATTTAGAGGTGGATAAACGCACTTTGGAGGTGGGTAAACGCTATTTCCGAATATTGGGAGGTGCGTAAACGGCGTTTACGTGCGTTTAGCCTCCACTACATCCCTGTTGACGTAAGCTGTGTCCCAATGTGAAGGCTGCATCCTCCGAAGGCCGCGGACTTCGAAGGATGCAGCCTATTCGTCCTTCGAAGGACGCACCTTGTAGCCTTCATAGGATTTCCTAATTGCGCATCCAGGTGTTCCCGATTACCGCTCCATGGCGCCAAGCAACAGTGCGAGATGGAGCTGCCGTCCAGGGCCCGTATTCCTAAAGAATCTTAATGCAAAAAGTAGCTCCTAGTGGCAAAATTCTAAGAAAATTCTTAGAAATGTGGGCGTTTACTCCTAAAATTAAAGAAAAAATCCTAGTAAAGAAAAAAGTAATTCAGAAAGCATCTTAACCCTTAAAAGAGGTCTTAAGGTCAAAATTGTTAGGAGCACGGACGAGGACTTTTAAGAGGCTTAAGAGTTTTTTTTAGCAGAGGAGAAAATGGCAGAAAGACGAAGAGGGAGAAGAAATGCATTGCAGACAATAGATGACAGTGAGTTAATAAGACGCTATAGATGAGATCGTGCAGGGATCATGTTTGTGACCGATTTTATTAGAGACACAATAACATCTCCGACACAGCGCAGGAATGGCATAGTGCCAGAAATGAAATCACTACTGTACATTAAGATATTTGGCATCTGGGAAAATGCATCAACGCAGCAGTGATGATTTGGGTCTGTCACAAACTTCTGTAAGCAGAGTGATCACAAACAATTACAGCACTTTCAGAACCTCTCATTGTGTCGCAGTTCATTTAGTTTCCACTGGACATTCCCACATTGCATGCTCAAAAAAATGCATTTATGAATATAGCAGGCTTCCGCACAAGGAGGGGGAATGAACCGTAAATAATTTATTATTAACCGCTATAAGCTCCCACGTCTGCTTCTGTGCTGTGACACCCGGCCTGATTTTCCTTTAAGGATGGCCTTGTGTTCATCCACTAACTGGGCTCACAGTAAACACTGTTCCTCTGTCCAGTTGAGCTTTCTTGTCCTTCTTGTTTTTTATTCCATGTTTGTTACATTAAAACCAACATTCAAACCACCACTTAAATAGACAGTGGAACAATTTTTATCATTCTAATCCAATCAAATACCTTATAGGAAATTAACAATATGGTAAATAAAAAAAGGATTTATATACACAAATATAATGTGTGTGTGTGTATGAGAATGGTCAAATAGGAAAAATTACGCATGTAATTTCAAAGTGAAGGCTTAGAATAGACCCTATACTTAAAATCACTCTTTTTTTCCTTCTTGGACAACCAACCAATCACAGTCTTCAAAAGATTGTGTCATACATAGCAACGGGGTCAGCCCCGCCTCCTCACTAAGATAAAAGTTTTTGTCTTTTCCTTACTCAGAGTTGCTCTCAGATCGGTCCCGGATCACTCTTAAGCTAAGACTCCTACGTAAAAGTTTTTAAGCTAAATTAAGAGTTTTCTAAAAGGATTCTTAGATTCTTTAGGAATACGGGCCCTGATCATTAATTTGTTATAATTGAGTAAACAGCTATGGAGCCAGAATTGGCTATTGTCATTTTTATGTTTTATATTTTACTGAGGATGTTAAATACATGAATTTTCTAAACGACATTTAGGCCACTTGTCTTTAAAGTCAATTTTTTAGGAGGAAAAAGCTCAGTATAATAGAATAAGCAAAAAAAAACTTCACATATAAAAAATAAATATAACACAAACACAAGGTTAGGTTATATAAAAATAAAACATTCATGAATTATTTTATGATTATTACTGTCTTCAGTGAACTCAACGCAAATGATAATAATATTATTATTATTAGCCTACATTTAGGCTACATATTTAGAAGGCGGTTTTATCCAAAAAAGGAACAAAGAAATTTGTCAAATGTCAGTCATAATACAGGGCTAAGATTATCACAAATAAACACAAGATTTTGACGCAAATGTGTGTGGGAGTGTGAGCGCGCACTGCATGGCACGGAGGCGCGGCCGCGAACACTTGCATTTTCCCATCAACAGTGGAAACAACTTAAAAAATACTCTATAATTTCTGGTCATACAGAAAAGAATAATACATCATTCGCAACTACTTTTATTTGTCCAAACTCACATAACAAGAAAACGTTGTGCTTTTGTAAAATAAAATAAAACAATCAGTCGCGCTTTCATGATCTCCGTGAACTGGAGCGCGTCTCATAAATGAACTGAAACAAAATATA